GCAGGTCCAGTATAGAGCAAGAGTCTGGCGATAAGATGGTCCAGGAAGAGCATCAGGACGGAGCTTTACGAGACGCTCGGGACGTGGGCACGAGTCACCTTATCAGAGTACGTGGGCATGAGACGGACGCTCCATCAGGGTACGTGGGCATGAGACGGACGCTTCATCAGGGTACGTGGGCATGAGACGGACGCTCCATCAGGGTACGTGGGCATGAGACGGACGCTTCATCAGGGTACGTGGGCATGAGACGGACGCTCCATCAGGGTACATGGGCTTGAGACGGACGCTCCATCAGAGTACGTGGGCATGAGACGGACGCTCCATCAGGGTACGTGGGCATGAGACGGACGCTCCATCAGAGTACGTGGGCTCATGACGCTCGGGACGCGGGCACGAGTCACCTTATCAAGGTACGTGAGCACACGCCCTGTTACGTGAGCACAAGTGGGTAGTACCCACTCGCATTGTTCGAGTTTGGATGTTCACCGAGATTGGAACAGACTCGCAGGTTCGAGCCATATCAAGCTGCGAAAATTCTGCGGGTAGGCGACGCAAGATTAAAGCTTGGGTGGTGTCTCATACGAACCCATGATCACAATAAGACGGAGATAGGCAACTAGATGTTAATATACAATTAAAAGAAGCAGCTGGATGTAAATATACAGTTACTGTATGCTGGAATACCGAGTACTGTAAACGACCGCGCCTTAACCTATAAAGAACACAACTGCGCGAACACTCCCACGCAGGTTGTTGATCGCTCGTTTCCAACACACCGTGAAACTGGAATTGTGTGTAGGTGTCATGAAGAAGAAAGCTCTTTTGTTCAATAATTACATATAAGGTATACGATAGTTACTCTAAGTGTGCTCATTTTTGAACGGATGTTGTAAATATCTGATCGGCGTCCAGAAATGCTATTGCAAGCTTTGACGAATGACTTGTACGCAATTCGCTAAATGAAAATTGTTCATCAGAATGAAATAATGTGGCCAAACTGTTACTATGCTGTGCAACTAAATGTTCCAAAAATGCCAATTATTACTGTTCGATAATAGATGTGAAGCGAAATTTCGAACAAATCATTTTTAGAACCAAAAACTGATACGTGAAAAAATGCGCAAAATTTAAATCAGCCAACGCAGGTAAAAAGAGCATTAAAGATTATATAATAAATAATGCTTTAATTATATATTAAAGCATTATCAATCACCACAGAGGCCATTGCATTATTTCCTGGCCTTCAATGATTTAAAGCAAGGCTACGTACATAACATTCAGTTAAAACTTAATAGCAAAGAAAACACCACAAAATTTCATAGTATCTTGACTGTACTAATCACTGATTTATCTGTGTTCTAGAATTTTCGAACTGACGATGGAGCTGGACTCCGAAACGTTTTCTTTAAAGATACTATGAAATTTTGTGATGTTTTCTTTGCTATTAAGTTTTTAGTGAATTTGCGATTCAAGCAAACGAGTGATATTATTACTCATAACATTCAGGTTATATTCTTCTTAAGGTTTATACGAATAATAGGCGTTTAGTAGATGATATGCGGGTGCATTGGCATAGTCTGGCAGAAGTTGTTCTTTAATGCAGGCTTTGTTGACAAGAGAGTAATTCTCATTGAGAATTTGCCAGCTATTTTTATCAATTTGGCGAATTAGACATCTTGCATGATTTCTAAATTCGAATATGCATAAAATATTTGAAAGATATTATGCATACCTCTACAGCGTTCCTTGAATGGCACGTTATCAAACGATGAAATTAGTTATATGTTAAAGTTCAAGAAACGCGCCACGAGTAAGAATGATTGAAGGAAAATAAAAAAGGTCTGTTGCCCAGGTGTTGCGTGCGTGTCTGTCACGAGCCTTGTACGGGCGACACTCGTCCTACGTTGGAGCTCAAAGTGTCATCCACGGTCGCTCGTTTGCCGGAGATAAGAAAGACAACATTTTTACCAGGGCTGTACCGAAGCATTTTTCTCACTTCCAATAAAGACAGTAATAATTTTTACACAGGCTGTATCGAAGCACTTTCCTCACTTCCAATAAAGACAGTAATCATTTTTACCCAGGCTGTACAGAAGCATTTTTCTCTCTTCCAATGAAGACAGTACGTATCATTTTAAACATGCTGTAATAACGAATTTTCCTTCCTTCCTATAAAAACAGAAATCATTTTTACCCAGGCTGTGCCGACTCATTTTCCTCACTTTGAATTGTGAACTCGTGCAAAATCGGATTGAACAAATAGAAGGTTTGATTATTCAACATTGCAGTGCTTCGCGTTAACGTTGCAGGTAAATTTCAAGACATAATCGCGAAAAAATAGAAAGGAAATCCAACGCCATGTAGGAAGACAACCCTCATCTTAATACATTTAGTATGAATGACAAAATGTTATGTATTGTAAGAAAATTTCACACTTATTGAGCAATTTTAGATTACAAACAAATAACCGCATTCTCCACAGTTCAGATATTTTCCACAAAATACTCTCGAGTAACATATATATACTTTGGAGTAACATATATACATGGAGTATATATATATATGGAGTAACATATATATATGGAGTATGGAGTAACATATATATAGTTTGGAACTAGCAAAAGAAGAGTTGACTAAACATCACTCATCTCATATGACATGACACGGCTTTTAAACATGACAAGAGATTGATGATGTAGAGAATCTTTCTTAGCGCAGCTCCGTTTTTTACTTGAACATTTCTTTGTATATTGTGAAACAAGGGTAAAGAAATTTTTGTATTACAGCTCGAACATTCGCATTTGGTAATGCTAGGATTTGTGAATGGTGAGTGTTCGCTTTTATTTGCATTTCAATATCCATTCAATAAATCAATAAATAATCAATTAATAATATTTTTCTATTTTCAATGTGGATGACATACAAATTTACGACAATTTACTCTACATAAATAAATAACTATTAATTAAAAAAATACTTGGTCAAAATTTGAGCAGAATATTTGCAGTGTAATTACTTTTTGTAACAAATGTACTACATATGCATATAATACATACATTTTGTAACATATGTACTATATATGCATATAGTATATATACATGAATTATATATTAGAAATGAACACGGCAATGTGTTCATTTCTCAGAGAAATGAACGAGACTTTGTCCAAAAAATGATACACTTTTTCCCTTGTGTGGGCGATCGTAAACCAATTTGGCTCGGCACATGGACGTATCAGTGCTACGTGCAGAAAGTATCTCACTTTTTGGACAATTTGACCCATTATTTTAGTCTGAGTGTGGCGGGGCTTCGAAGGAGTATGACGAGACGAAGCATTTAGAGGAAGGCAGCACAGGATGTAGCCTCTACTTCTGTAATGTACTTCAGTACTGTGCATAATGTCCGAGTACAGCTCTTCAGTAACGTACTTGAGTACTGTGCATAATGTCCGACTTACTAAGTACAGCTCTTCAGTAATGTACTTGAGTACTGTGCATAATGTCCGACTTACTAAGTACAGCTCTTCAGTAATGTACTTTAGTACTGTGAATAATGTCCGACTTAAGTACAGCTCTTCAGTAATGTACTAAGGTATACTTGACTTTAGTACTGTACGTGCTTAATTTCCGACTTAAGTAATGTACTAAGGTTCTTGACTTTAATACTGTAAATACTAAATACATTAATATTGTACTTTATTACCGTATTTCAGTATAGTAATTCAGACTGTACTTTCGGTACTGTACTGAAAATAAAGTTCAGTACTGAATACTGCAGTACAGCAGTAGTATTCAGTACATTACTTCAGCATTCATGCATCAGTCATTATGAGGAGTACAGCGCACAAGTGACTCATAATACATTAATATATCCGCGACAGGAAATTAGAACTGTTTGACTCATGAATACAGTCTACTCAATTGTGTCATGTTTGTATAGAACGTCATGAACGCCTGGTAAATAATACAGGGTGTTAGCTAGCTAAATATCGATTGTGCATTCAAAACAGGTTGCAAGTTTGCCCGCACGACTTTAACGTTGTAGAAACGTATTATGAATGATGAAATTAATTATAAGAAAATTTCTTCAATTTGAAAGTTGATACGGAAAATAGATTCATATTCACCGATAAAACACCGACAACCGAGTCAGAATGATAACTATTTAATACTCCTAAGTGCCTAGAGCGCAACTAACTAACTATTTAATACTCCTAAGTGCCTTCATTGATTGGCGCGACAGGATTCGATGTGATGACTCAAAGAAAACAAGTTTAGCGAGTTTGGCGCGAACATTAAAGCCATTAAGGAGAAGAAAACACACGCCCAAGCTGAGATCCAGCCATATCTGGTCGCAGCGCGTCGGCGCGATATCGCCTTGTTAGGTGCACGTTGCAAATGTGATCCGCACTGCGAATCTCCTTCTAAGATAAAATGTGCTAAATCGTGAGGTGTATTTTCACACTTGAAAATAAATTAAATTTTACTAAGAAATGTATCAAGTTTCTTATATATTTTCGTCCGAATTTTTTACGCGCTCAAGCTCAGTTAAGCACTTAAGCTGGAGTACAGTAAGTATGAGTTACACTGAAGTTCTGATATGTTGGTAAGAATGAAAATGCATACAATGAGCAAAATACGTACGAGGAAGCGAACGAGATAAGAGATGAAAATATTACGCAAATAATTAATTTCTAATAACATTGTACATCACAACGTCACCGAATGTCTCGTGCTCATAAATCAAGTAACATTACAGCACTTATGTCACCGGTCTTCAATAGAAACTATATTGGTTATAAACAAAACTGAACTGCAAATTTCGAGCGAGATCGAAAGAGCTTCGTACTTATTTTACGTGGTTATCGAACCCTGCAAAACGCAGTGACTTTTATTGTCCGCTTTTATTGACGAGCGGCGAGTTAAGTGCAGTAGGTATATATTGAGTGGCGACTAAAGTGCCATTGATGGCATTAATTATATATAGAGGGTACTCACATCTGGATGTTCTTTGACAGGAACATAGACTTTTTCCGACAAGGAGACTGTCTCTCCTGATGGTTCCGGTAGATTGAGTGGTTCTTTAACCCCGCCATTGATTTGAAACAGATTGCCGCGCACTTTGCCGATCTCTGTGGGAGAAACAATTACAACATTAAGCCTATAAATAAAAAGTAATGATAAACAATAACTAGAAAGAATAATTTGTTTGTTATACATTTCAATTTATCTACAGAAATCTCGGAGCAGCATCCGAGGGCTGGTGGCTATGTTACAACTCATATATAATACTTCATAAAGTTAAAACTAAATTTATATTGAAAAAGCTCCGTCACGAGCTTATTAAAGATAAAATTATCCCAGAACTTACAAATCAACTTGATTCGAGTAACTGTTATGCTATTCTTCATTTTATTACTACAATAAACATGCGTGTAACGAACGGCTTGATCGAGTGGCATTGACGAGCGACCCTGCATTTACCGCGATACAGAACACAGTCCATACATATCAAAAGGAAAAGCCAATAATCATGTCCTCTAGACTTATTTGATATTGATGTTTGTTGATCAATCATCAACGAAAACGAACCTAAACTGCAAACATTGAGACACGGGAATTTAAACGTATCCTCGGTGGTTATCTCGTATAATGATAAAGGAAAGGGAAATATTCCTCGTAGCGGCGTACGTACTACGAAACGTAATCTGATTTTCTAAAGAATGTTGAACAATGCTTGTTCAAGTTTCATTGTCGGGCTAATGAAATACGGTCAGAACATTAATGTTATTCAGGTATTCACGTTATGAAATCGTTCAAGTGCCGACCATGTACATAAAAAACAACCTTGTGCAGCATTGAATTCATGCATAACTAGTGCCTATATAAGCACAAAGAAGAGTAAATGTGCCTCAATATTTTTGGATCCTGGTCGGCATTGACACAATCAACAAATTATGCGTCATCGCTTCATACTCTAATCATATTATAATGAACAATAAAATAAACACTGGGGGGACATGTATGTAAACGCAAAGTCTGTGACCAACCAAGCTGTGACCTATCACTGCTCTTGACTGTACATCTGGGGCCATACTTTCAAAACTCGCTAAGTGAACGTAAGTATACTTACACTCTATTTTCTTGTCTATGATTGGTGGATTTTGCTTGAAAGGCCGTCAATGATTGGCTGATGAACTTACGATCTCTTAACTTTTTTTGAAAGTATAGGCCCTGGAAGGATAAGTGGGCAGGTAAAAAATGGGTATGAAAAAAGTGGGCCACGTGGGCGAATAATCGAGACGAGGGCACACGGTAGAAAGTTAAGAGCGCGTGGGCAGCTCGCACGTAGGCGGGTAACCCACGCGTGGGCAGGCTATATTGCAAACATCGTCAAGGCTCCATGGACGCATACGTGGGAATTACGTTTTGACGTTAACTGAAATTATGCACAATAATACGATAATAAATGCGATAGACGCTTTTAATACTCAATTTAAAACTTATTCCATATAATTAATTATGTTATCGCGTCACTCACGCGGGGGCAGGCGATATTGCAAACATCGTCAAGGCTCCAGGGACGCTACGTGGGAATTACACTGTTATAAAAATTACCGTTAACGGTATTACCAGCGTTGCAGTGGCTGGTCGGCACGTGAAAAGAAAAAACGTGTCGCCGTTTTTATTCTAATTTAACACTAGAAATCTATAAAACATCTGATAAAAACGGCGAAACAGTTTATTTTCACGGGGCGACCGGCCACCAGAACGCCAGTGGGATCGTTTTTTCACCGTTTTTTTTAACAGTGTAAGTTTTTTTCTAACAGTGTACGATTACTGAAATTATGCACAATAATAAATACGATAGACGGTTTCAATACTAAATTTCAAACTTATTAAATATAATAAATGCTTTTACCGCATCACTCACATTCCATAACATGATACCATTCATAATGAAGAGCAACGTGGCAGAGAATCTCATTAACGAACCTTCTGCTCTTCACTTCTTTTAGAGTTAATGTCAAATTAATATCAAGTATGAATATACCTCATTTCAGTTGGCGAGAAGTTACATCGACAGCATATCTTTCATGAATAAACCAATTTATATGAATATTGAAGAGGGAAAATGAACGAATCATAATAACAGAAGTGCAAGTGTTGCGTTTCGTTATGCACAAGTTGAATAACCTAAATCAAATTAATATTAAAGCGAGAATATGAACAAATTATTATAACATAAAAGCAATTACGGCGTTTTGTTACACACAAGTAGAATAAACTAAAATAAATAAATGTTAAAGTGTAAATAAGAACGAATTATTATCAGAGAAGAGCAAGTGTTGCGTTTAGTTCTACACAAATTGTAGAATGAGATGCATGTATAGTATCCTATATATAGGCAGGCCTTGGTAAGATAAGAGTTTGCATAAAGTGAAGGTAAAGTTTACTCAAGCACTTATAGTCTACGCAACATGCAGTACTTGCTATCAAGGCCGCCTCATAACACAACACAACAAATAAAACAAACTCTCTGCATCAAGACTCAAGCAGCACTCAGAAAATGTATGGATCATATTGTTCAAAAACCAGCCATGCATTTTCTTACCCACATCAAACGGAAATTGTCTAAAAACTGAACCATTTTCTTATTCACATCAAGCGACAACAACGGACCACTAATTCGTTCTTTTGTCGGGCCAAACTGAGTCAGAATGACCCAGGAACAAGCCATCTCCGCATCGCTATTAGGACAACAAGTCTTTCATTTCTTTGAGTGTACACAGCACATGCGCAACTTCTTTTCAAAGCACAGACTTCAAAGATTGACCAAGTCCATATACGATAAGAGAACTCTTGTGAATTACGTTCGTTGGTTCAGAACAACGCGTCGAGTCAATAAAGTACTGAACCTTGAATCATTTTGTATGGCAGTTGCGTAGCAGGGATTGGCTTAGACAAAAAGCGTCCGCTTCGAAGTACTCAATAAATACAGTCTCATTCATGGATTTAATGTGTCAGGTGGAGATAAAAGATTAAGTGGACTTACACGCACCTGTTCTGCAGGACAAGACTTGTTTGGCTAAACCTGGCGACCTTCGGACGACAGGATCAGTTTTCAGAATCTATTAAAGTGCGATACCGGCTAATGCGTTGCTAGCTAAATGGTCCTTGTGCTTCAAAAATGATTATACCTAATTGATAAATAGAATATAATAGATAAATAAATATGATTCGGTGCACGATCAATTATAACAACATTAAATAATATTTTATTGAAACCAACAGGAAATTTCACAGGGAAAACATCGCCTTAAAGTCTCGTATAAATCTAAATAATACCACTGATCTTTGAAATTCTGTAACATCAACAGATCTTTATAGACCGTCTAGAAACTCAATTGCGATTTGCCGCAATTTTGACAATTGTGTTGATCAAAACAAGTAGCCAAAAACATAACATTGCAATTGGCCTACAATATGTCGCTGAAATTAAAGCAGTCACATTTACATAAAAAAATAGAAGCTTCCTTGACCAGCAGCTAGGACTAGCTGTGTACACAGTAAAATCAATCTGTAATATTGTCCAACTGGTGACATACTTCCTGAGCGTAATACTGATACACCCGTATACGTCGATTATAATTAGGTATAAAGGATGACCCACACGAGAACAATGAGTGCACATCGCTATTTGGACAAAGTCCCTCTTATATCTTTGAGTGATGAGGACAGTCGCGTGTAGGCATGGATTTAATAGATTGAACTATTATAGATTATACCGCCCTGAACTATAACTATATATATCGCCCTATGAACTATAACTATAACTGAACTGTACATTATATATCGCCCACTTGCAAACACGGACAACTGCGTCGTATAGCACAATGCGACGTCAGGCCTTCAATAATGGCCATGAGCTATGAAGCTTTAGAGGCATTTTTAAAGGTTCGGTGAATTTTAAAGTTCAGTTCAAGCAAAAATTAGGAGGTGGAAATGGGATATAAAATTTTTGTAGGCATGAAATCAGTGATTAAATGTGATGATTTAAACAAAAATGCTTCTTCATGCTCAATTTTGATGACAAAAACACGTAGAATTCTTCCACATCTAAGGGGAAATTTGTCACCGTCACTTCGTTGGATTAAGTTCAACTTAAATGATTTCTACAAAATAGGTATACTGCCTAAATAGATTTATTTTATTTAAACAATATTAATTATAATAATAATGTGTGGTGTGTAAAAATCGATCACTAAATCGAACGACTACGATCGTTACAACTCTGTATACTATCGATTTCAATAATAAATTCATCGACTATTGGCGGAAAATTAATATGTTATCTTGAATCCAACGATGCCATTAATGTTATAAGCTAAATGCGTGCGCTGAAATACTATTGCCATTACATCAGACGAAGTTATAAGAAACACAACTAGTTTTTCTCGAGAGCTGCAATGCAAAGAAAATACTCGAAGATCATAAAGGGAGCAGAGGGCGGCGATTCAAGTGACAGTCTCATCAATATAAGCATCGACAACAAGCCTAAGCTGAAGGTATCGCGGGGACTCTGGTATCACACCTACCATAGATCATATGTCTTGCAACACATATACACTGTTAGAAAAAACGGTCCCACTGGCGTTCTATATAGTGGCCGGTCGCCCCGTGAAAAAAAAAAAAACCGTTTCGCCGGTTTTATCAGATATATTTTGGATTTCTAGTGTCAAATTGGAATAAAAACGGCGACACGGTGTTTCTTTTCACGTGCCGACCGGCCACTGAAACGCCGGTAATACCGTTAACGGTAATTTTTCTAAGAGTGTACCGAGAATAGCATAAATGTTTATTATTCTATGGGAGAGGCTATAAATTTATCGGTCGTTCGAAATCGCATCAAGAACTAAATTCTCTCCCATAAAACAGAAAATAGTGCATAAAATTTATATAAAATGTAATAGCACTTGTTGATGGTACGACAAGCACAATTGAAAATTGAAACATTGATTGAATATTGAAACTAAGAAAAATTCATATATCGGGGGCTTCTATGTACATGACGTTATAATTGTTCGCGCGGTGATCAATGTGGTAGGGAGCGATGACCCCCATAAAATTT